ATTTACACATATAGTGGGAACAGTTAGGGATGATCAAACATACTTGGATGTAAAGAGACAACTAATTTCCGTGTGCAACTTCACGCTCCTATGTGTCAACTAGTTTTATGTTTTTGAGACCTTTATAAATAGAGGGTGTAAGACCTACAAATTTTGTACCCAATATTCAAGTTATCAATTAAAAATTTTTACTCGTGTTCCTTTGTGAACGTTTGTGCAAGCTTCTGTCGAGAGTCTCCCGGAGTTTCACGTGTCTCTTATCAACTAGAGAACGCGTCTAGTTGTGGCGAGCATCGACCTATATCAATTGCCCCCTTTCCACGAGTTGATTCTGTCCGATTGGTTTAATATACCAATTGCCCTTTGTCACAAGTTGGGATTGTCCGATTGATTCCACATCTATCTTTTATTTCAAGTTGGAGAAAAGCTTCGAAAATCCTTAAAAAGGAAGGAAGACTGCGTACTTTGATCATATCATCCGAGTTCGAGAGTTCTTTTCGGATTTGGATCATATAAGTATGATAAGAGGGATTAGTTATCACAATTACATACATGATCACCAAATGAGCCCCTTTGTTAACCTCAACTCATATGAAAAAAGACTATGAAGAGGGATTAGGTATTAGTGTTGGAGTGGTGGCTGAATCCAAGTCGAGTGATGAAAGGAAATGAGATGAAAAGGAAGAGAGGGACCCTCTGGAGCATCAAAAGGAGGGGCTGCCCTGCCCTTCCCCTGGCTGAGGGGCCACTATCATTGCTTGTCCCACCAATCCTCCTTTGACCACAGGAGAGAGAGAGAGAGAGAGAGAGCCCTAATTACAAACAGCAGATACTACTACTACTGACCTGACTGAACCCATCTAGCCTGCTAAGCTGAGCTTTTTCTTTGACCCTAATGCCCTACCAGAGGCCTACTCCTACTCCTACTCTGCCCCTACTGCAATGGTATGGTACTCACCCACCTTTATAGCCCTGCTCTCTCTGCTTCCTCTGCCTCCTGCTGCTGCTGACCTCTTCTCCTCTCTGTCCTCCTCAGTACTCTTCCACCCTCCAGCTTCCTTCCTCTTTGTTTTCTATCCCAACCAAAATGTTCCCTTTTGGAACCCCACTTTCTTCTTCCATTGTGCCAAACTCTTTCGGAACTTATCAAACTTTACACCCGAGTCCCTCTGTCAAGGAGAAGAAGATATATAATATAGGTAAACTCATCTCTCAATTCTGTATTTGTTCCACATTAGTTTTAGTTCATTGGGATTCATGCTTATTTCTTGTACTGCTACAAGGTAGACCTGGCAATCGGGTCGGGTTGGGTAATTTCGGGTTGGAAATCTCGGGTTACGGGTCTTCACGGGTCGGGTCATGATGGGTTTGCTGATTTTGGATCAAATATTGACCCAACCCATCGAGTTTCGGGTCATGAGCGTTCTCAGAAACAATATCAAACATGCTTCATAAATTTTTAAAGAACACAATTTTTTACGTATGTGCGACAATAGTTTGCCTAGCACATGTCAATTAACAAATGCTCAACTCCTTCCATACTAATGAAAATAAATACAAATTGTCAAAAAAAGTAAAAAACAATGACGAAAGTAATACTACTACAATAAACAAATGAAGTTTAATTATCTTAACACTCCAAACTTGTCTTTCAAATCCTAATAAATTTTTTTAAACATCTCACCAAAGTATGAGTGATTTTATCATTTTGAGAGTGATATATGCAATGAAACGGGTCTAGCGAGTCGACCCACAAACCAATCCAACCCGACCAAAAAACTACTGATTAATCGGGTTCGGGTCATTCGGGTTATAAAAACCTCAACCCGATCTCTATTTTTCGGACGGGCTCGGGTCGGGTCCACGGGTCGGGTCCTCGTTTGCCAGGTCTACTACAAGGATTGATACTGAGAAATGGCCAGAATGAGAATTTAGGGAGGAATTGAAAGGAAATAGATACTGGTTGGTTAAGGAAGAACTAAGATCGAAATCCAAGAATAAGGAGAGAATGAGAGGCTGGATGAAAATATATTAGGGTTCTTGTGGGTCGATGATCTGGCTGAATAGCTCAAATGAAATACAGACAGAAGTTTACAAATACAACGCCATCACAACCCGGTAAATCAATATGACTGTTCTTTTTAGTTATTGGCGAGGTGTATGTTTAGTACAATTCTTCTGGGGACTGTTTAAGATCATCAGTTTCGTCGGAGATAGAACTGTTGCATTTCTCAGGAGATCAATTGAAATTGTGATAGCATTTTATTTTCAAATGACCGTAGTGAAGTAATGTACTTATTTACATGATAATTTTTTAGTAACCGAACTAATCTCATCTCCACAAACCCAATTTCTAATTAACCCCAAGTATTATAATATGCCACTTTATTATTTAGTATTATCAATCCTACTCCTTTATTTTTTTTATCAAACATACCCATATATTTTGGAAAAGTTATCAAATGTCTTAAATTTATTAAATTTTTCATAAAAAATTGTTAGTCATGGTCGAACTGTGATTTGGACGACCTGACATGACAAACAAATCAAAAGGGAAAATATATGTTTTGTGTCTCCATTTACTTTCTTGTTAAAATAAAATTATTAGAATATTGGACTACACAAGCAAATAATTAAAGGTTTAATATATTTGTATGGTCTGAACTTTGATCATAATAAACATCCTGGAATCTTTTCGAGATCTATAACATTCTGACCCAAACTATACATCTAAATAAACACATCTATAACATTCTGACCCAAACTATACATCTAAATAAACACATTGGCCAAACCCGTTGTTTGAACATTCAATGGGACGGTCAAACGCGTTGACTAACGGTCAACGCGCCACGTTATTGCCAAGTCAGCAACTTTCACTTAATTTTTTTTTTAATAATTTCCACCTATTATCATTTTCTTTTTCATTTTGAACCAAAATTAAAAAAAAGCAAACAAAAATTAATCAAAACAAAAAATAAACCCTTCCATCTCCTCTCCGATCCCCTTCCACTCCCTGCTGCCGAACAGTCCCGCGACCACCGTCCAACGGTGAAGCCCATCGGTTGGTTCCAAGCCCCAGACTCTGACACGGATTCCGACTCCGATTGGGGCATCTAAAAAAAAATGGAATGAAAAACAAAACGAGGTGAAGAACCAGAACTATGAATCGCATTCTAATTTCTAATCCGTCTGTCATATGACTCAAATTCTTGATTCGTATTCTAGTTGCAATCAGAAGCAGCACCTCTTCATATACCAGTTTGACGGAGTAATCCACTGTCCCAGCTGGTAGCAATGCCTCCAGCTCCGAGATATTGAAGGCAAAATCTCAACTTGGAGGAGCGCATTCGGGTTTAATGGCCTCCGTGTTCAACATCTCGCACAATCCAAACTCAATGGCCACATGTAACGTATATGTATCATTCCCCCACCTGTAATCAGAAAATGGATCTAGGAGGAAATCGCAGAAGGGAAGAAAGGGGACACGAGAGCTTGATTTTAGAGGGATCAATAGCGACGCTGTCAACGGAGCAGGAACTGTCACAGCTTGCGCGGCGGTTTGGACGCAGCGGAGAAACGGGAGACGAAGACGCGGTGGATGAGGAAATCGAGACTAGCCCGTAACTGGCGGCCGATGTCGAAGGCCCTGCCGAGGCCGGCGCGACAAACTGCGGGTCCCAGGGCCTGGCGACGGTCTTGGTCCAGTTCTCGTCGAAGTTGTAAGCCCCAATCGGAGTCTGAATCCGTGTCAGAGTCTGGGGCTTGGAAGCGATGGGCTTCACCGTTGGACGGTGGTCGGAGGTAGGGATGACAAAAAAAACCCGAAGCCACGGCTATTCACCCCACCCAACCCGGTTAACACGGGTAAAATTCATGTTGACGGGTTTTGGGTCGGGTTTGGGTTTAAACCCGTTTATTATTCACCAGGTTGGCTTGGGTTTGAGTTTAGGTAAACTCGGCCCATGGGTACCTGCCCACACCCATATAATTAATTGGGCGTTACTATTCGTCGCCCTAAGTTTTTACATTCTATCGCCCTAAGCCATACGAATTTACAAAACTGCCCTTCATTTAATTTTGTGGTTCTTTATCATACACCTTCGGTGATGGAAAAACGCAGAAAGTGAGCATCATACGGTCAGCCAACAATCAAAACCTGGAAACCTGCTACAAAATCGAAACGAGTAGCCACAACCAGCCACCGCAAAGTAAAAGCTAGAAAGACCAGTACATCCAGACGGTAGCCACAGTCAAAATCTATCAAGCGATTCATAGGAAACCGAGTATTCGTCGCAGTCCAAATTGAGCATCAGAACAACAATCAATCCATTGTATATCAGACACAGCTCTAGATAAAGAACGCTAAGCTAACATCGGAGATACACAAAATATAATTAAAAAAAATTAACGAGGGCAGCAAGCGGCGAGGGCAGCGAGCAACGATGACCGACCTTCTTCAACAACAGCAGCGAGTCAGCGACGTTTGGTCTTCTCGCCTCGATTTCCGGGTGCGATCGGTCAGAAGCAGAGGTCAGACATACAGGGGATGGCGACGAACCTCTCCTTCCTATTTCGGTGGCTTTCTTCTCGCTGGGAAGAGAGCATACGACTGCGGCGGCGCGTTTTCGCCGGGAGGGAGTGGGAAAGCTAGGTCGGCGCGTTGCTGGGAAGAGGAGAAAGGGGGTCATGTTATTTTGTGGCCAGGGGTAAAATTGTCTCTTTGTATAAGTTTAGGGCGATAAATTCAAATAGTTAGGGCGACGAATAGAAATTCAGAATTAATTTTCTCGATATATTTAATATTCTAAACAACTAATCTCATTTATGTTTGTGGAGACATGTCTAATTTTTTCTTTCTAATTGTGTAGAATGAAGATTGATGTTATCGAGTGAAGAAACTTAATTGAAAAGAAGAAGCTTTCAATTAACCATGTTATTTATCCCATCCCCAAATTAATTAAATAAAAATAATAATCCAAGAAATTATATTTCTGTATTTTTTAATTAATTTTTTATTCCCTGCTAGTTGACATGACAAGTGAGCTATAATGAAGTATGCTATATAGTTTAGGTCAGAATAATAATTTGACGGTCAAACCCAGCTTCGGGCCAAATAAGAAAGTATGCTATATAGTTCAAGTCAGAATAATAATTTCTGATATCACGGGACAAATTAGAAAGTTTGTCTACAATTAGGCCAAACTAAACTAAGGTATTAACCAAAAACTAAACGGAAACCATGTTTTTACTATTACACCAATGAAATGTAAGCAAAAGCAAGTACCTTCTGGGAAAATTAGTGGGAAACGTGAGTTTCAATGTTAACTCGCCACTCCCCACAATTAAACAATTCACAGTCAGAAGCAAACAAGGCTCAAGTGCCGAGGTCTTCCTGATTTAATAGGACCAAGAAAGAACCAAACACATCATGATCATGGGAACAAAGAAAGAAAGTACCATCTTCTCCGAAACAAGAACAGGCCGACCTTCTCAGAAAATCCCTTGGGCCTCATCAGAATAACCCAATGGCAATGGACATCCATGCTTTCCCCCAAGCCCATTTCTCGCATTCTCTAATCCACTTTGTCCTTGTCAACCCACAGCGAACTCTTTCTTGGACAGTTGGACAGCGTGCAGTGAGTCACCATTCGCCAACGATACATTGGTTCAGTCTGTTGTTGCCGAGTAAAAGATAAAGAGCTCGTTTTGCAAAAGAAAGCACACTTACAGTGACCATGGACCAGAAAGAACTTCTATTATCTGGCCCTCCAATTTCTCCTCGTCAACCCACTGCGAACTACTCCGGCGTAACAGCTCCTTGGCAGCATTTTTCTTCTCTTCCCTCTTAGCTTCTTTCATTCTCCAATTCTCAAGCTTCTCCGTTCGCTCTTTCAACTGCATTTACAATGTTCAAACACCGTGTCAAACATCCAAAACAATGATGCGATCGGTCGTTACTACACTTGTGCAACAATGCACACATCCCAGTTCATCTACATTCAGGAATCTCATAATCCTTGCAATCCACCTTACCAATGTGGGAAACAGACTTGACTGCTAATTGCTAAAGACCCACACAGACATCTGGTTGGTGTCTATCTAACAGCCCGTTGTCAGGAAAGGAAATAAACTGTTTCCCAAGTTTTTAGATTCAGAAGACAGAGAGAAGAGTAAACTGCGAAAGATGGAATAAAAAACGCAGTACACAGACCCAACCTACTTGGTATGAAAGGGGATAAGCAAGTAACGGGTGCTAAAATGATTGCTTCCAGTATCAAACTCATATAAACACAGCACCAAAAACATGAGTTTTGCATACTTGTAGTGACGAGAGCTTAGAAGATCAACTACATGCCTCCACATGATCAACTTCTCTCTCATGCCGCTTCCAATCAAAAGCAAATACAACCCTCAAATCTTCCAAATGATCCAGGGCTCTGACTAATGGACTTCATGTAAGCCTTTCCCATCCTCAAGATTAGCGGAATCTAAAAGAGTGGGGCAGAACACGGACTTATCCTAGCAGTCAACGAGAGATTGACTGCGACTCCGAGCTGTTGATCAGACACATAAACAATGTTTCATCACAGAACAAGATGACCTGAAGGCAAGATCTTTGCCTCGGCAGCAAGGGAAATCATTATGATGGCACTTGGGACAGTGGTGGTAATGGTATTGGTAGCAGTTCCACACCAATAATATTGACAAAGAACCCAAACTCGATTTGAATAGTGTAATACATGGATCTCGACTAAACTCAACTCTACACCATCGTAGAGAACAAAAATGCCACTTAGACAACTCTTAACATAAGATTTCCTCAATGTTAGATCCATGATTTCCTATGTGTCCCGAACTCATTCACTAAACTATTGACAAAAAGCCCCAAGACTTAACAAAATGTTCTATATTGATATCTCTAACATCAGATTTTCTCATGTTCCCTACGCATTTCTTATGACAACCCCCCTCTGAACTAGTTCTACCACTACCAAATTCAGAAGGTATATATGCTAAGAAACGTCCTCTGTTGATTGATACAAAGACAACGTATTCGACAAAATCGATGGTGCCGAACGGGTTGAGAGTGAGGATGAAAAAAAGAGGACATACCAGGGTTTGGCGGAACTCCTCTTCAGCAACTTTGCGCTCTTCCGCTCTAACTTTGGCCGCCTCAGCCTTCAACTTACGGCGTTCCTCGTTCGCAATCCTGATCACCTCTTGTCTAGCTTCGTCCTTCCGCTGCTTCTCCATGCGCATGGCCTCCATCTCCACGATGTATTCTTTGCGCACCTCCTTCACTTGCTTCGCGTACTGTCTTCGCAACATCGCCAGTCTCTTCTCCGCCTCCTTCGGATTCTTCGGCGCCTCCCAGCATCCCATGAAAGAATTCGCCTCCAGGAACTTGTGAGTTTCCTTGTGGTTGTTTTTACCGGTGGCGATGGAGGAGGAGGAGAAGAGGCGGCGCCCCGTATAGACGACGCCACGACGAGAGGCGGCGGCAGCGGCCATTGTTTAGGGGATTTCGGTGAATGATCGGCAAGAGAAGAGAACAGAGGGAACACGAAGGCAGTACTCAGCAGATTGCTCTTCGTTTTCCTCCTTTACCAATTTGGACGATTGGGCCGGGTTACTCAATTCAATGGGCCTAATCTGCATTTAAAAGGAAACGTTCATAGTAACTTAAGCCCAAACAAAAAAAAAGACTTAATTGAATGGGCCTAATCTGGAGGAAGTGGTCATTTGCAGAACTGCTCCATCCAATCCTCTCCTATTCCTACTTCAAATCGAACACATCAATCCGGATTTCAAGCATGGCCCACGACCCATGAGTAGGGATGCAAATGAGTCGAGCTACTCACGAGCAACTCGAGACTCGAATCTGGGAAAACTCGTTCGAAACTCGACTCGTTTACTAACGAGCTAAACTTTTTTTTTTTGTTCCAAGAAATGTCAATAGAGAAAAAACTATACAATCTACCCAGGAACCCTCCCAAAACAATACATTAGTGAAGCCACCCTACAAAGTCGAATGAACAAATCTCAAGAGGGGAAAGTAACAAAGCTTTCCGCGCCACTCTATGGGCAGCCCTGTTAGCAGTTCTAGGAACTGCCCTAAACTCTAAGGATACAGAAACTGAAGACAGGAGCTGGAGACAATCACGAAGCATCGGACCTCTGAGGGAATCTAAAGAAATGCCGTGGCAAAGCTGACGAATCACCACTTCTGAATCACCTTCGATGATGACACGAGGAAGGGACTTGGAGACCAAGAGGGAGATGGCGTCTCGAGCTGCAAGAAGTTCTGTGAGGTAGGGGTCAACAATGCCTGGGTGCTGGAACCCTACTGCCAACGCCACATGCCCGTCTGTTCCACGAACCACTAGTCCAGACGAGCAACCGGAAGCACGAACAACAACATCAAAGTTGATCTTCAGATAGCCAACGGGAGGAGGGACCCAAGAGGGAAGGCGGGAGATTGAGGGCTGAAGGGGAGGGACGGGCACCGGAGGGAGAGAGGAAGAGACTTCGCAAACTTGGAAAAAACATTGACGAGCTAGAGACTGGACATGAGGTTGATAATGCTCAAATACCATCTTATTTCGAGACTTCCAGATTCTCCACAATAGCAAATGTATAGGAGAACATGGGTTTGGGGGGTGCTCAGAAAGCATAACATGTCGCCACCAGAGACTGAAATTCACAGTCGGGGCCGAGGAAATGAAGTCATTTAGGCCCATAAGTGACCACAATCTGGTGGCCAAAGGGCATCTGAAGAACATGTGTTCAATACTTTCCAGACTTCTCCAACAAATAGGGCATCGGCTACGACAATTAAACCCTCTAGATTTAAGTGCTACTACTATTGGTAATACCACTTTCAGGCACTGCCATATGAAGCACTTCAGTTTAGGAGGAACTAGAATATCCCATGTTTTCTTCCAGATAGGAGGGTCGATAATTTGGACCAAGAGCTTACGACTTGAGGCTAAAGAGATTTCTAATGCCAGATGGTATCCAGTTTTAACGAGCTAAACTTGAGCTTAGCTATGTTCAGCTCGCGAGCTAGCTCAACTCGGTGGCTTGTTGAGCTCAACTCGTGAGTTGGCTCATTTAGAGCTCATGAGATGTCTCAACATTGTGGTTTGAGAGCCAACTTGATCACCGACTTATGAACGAATCGATCTAATTTGGACTTTCATAATTCAGAAAATATGCATTATTTTTAATTCTATAAAGAAATTATGTACAAAATCGTTTCGATACTATAACATAACATGTTTTGAACTAGTTAAAATTTATTAACTAAAAAATATGACACCTACAAATTATAATATAAGATTAATTAATGGTGAATATTTGTTTATTTATTTTTGTCGTTACATCAATCACATGTACCATACACTGCATACAAAATGAATGTATCAAATACGATCTAAGAATTTAGTAAACAAGCCTAGCTCGAACTCGACTCGGCTCGTTAATAAATGGCTCGAGCTCGAGCTAAGTTCATTTGTTAACAAGTCAAGCTCAAGCTGGGGTAAAACTCGGCTCAGCTCGGCTCATTTGCAACCCTAGCCATGAGTCAACGACAAGTCCGTGACAAATATAAAGACAATTTAGTCGATGTAGTCTAACGAATCATATTTCGGTTGTTACCTTCCTCATCACTATGTTCTCATATGTAAGAATATCTAGTCAGCCAGCTTTTGTGCTGAATTTTATTTTGTTCTTCTTTTAATGAATTTCGAAGTCGAGTTTCGAGAACGAAAGGTAATCCTTTCTTATTTGTTAAAAACAACACTAGACTCGCAACTATCTTATTAGTTGAGACACTGTCTGGTTAATATTTTCGTAGGGTTATAGGTATAATATGCCCATCTACTATGTCGTTATATCAAACATGCCCCTCTACTATTTTTAATGTCAAACATGCCCCTGTATTTTGGAAAAATTATCAAACATGCCCTTCTATTAAAATTTCCATTGAAAAAATTGTCAATCATGGTTGAACCGAGATTTAGACGACCCGATATCGGCAAATGGGAGGGAAAATGCCAGTTTTGTCCCCTGTTTTATTTCTCTCAGTCTCGTCAAAGTGAAATTATTAAGGATTATTTGGCTATATAAAAGAACCAAAAAAATTGTAAAGTGAAATTATTTGGGATATTTTAGACATTTGTGCCGCCCAAACAAAAGTTTGGCCGTGGTTAACAGTTTTTGGATAAAATTTTTAACATAAGTGCATGTTTTATAATTTTTTCAAAGTACAGGGGCATGTTTGATGTAAAAAATAGTAGAGGGGCATGTTTGATAAAACGACATAGTAGAGAGGCATATTATACCTATAACCCTATTTTCGTACGAGTCAAGAATCACTAAGGCCCTGTTCACTTCCATTTTCGTTTCCTGTTTTCTGTTTTCATGTGATAAATTTGGCAACCAAAATGAGAAAACTTGTTTACTTTTCATTCTGTTTTCTATTCGTTTCCAACTATGAAAACAGAAAGTGGCAACTTCCTGCTGTTTTCGGAAACGACAAAATGTTGTTTTCACCTGTTTTCAACATCTGTTTTCTCAAAAACAGAAAACAGAAATGAAAGTAAACAGGCCTTTAAACGAGTGGCCAGGGATGGATATGTTTGATGAGAAAGATGATATCTTAGGCGTTAGGCCGATATTATCCAGCGTCAGGGACAGACCAACTACTACTGCTGGGGTCTAATGGGTCACAATTTGTACTGATTGCTTAGAGAGTAATTCTCTGTTCTTTAATAACAATTCATCCTCTCTTCCACCATAACCACACATAATTAAGCCAACAATAATAAAAGCACAGAAAATTAACAAAGGTAGTTGAGTTGTTTCCACCTAATTGGTTGTTGTAACAGTTAGAGACCAGTGACCAACCAGATTAACCATACTCTATTATCTAATGGTTCCGCTTGCTCGGACGGAAGTCATAACCTACCCTCTTCAGGTTCGGTGCTTGCTTTGCATTATATACATATTTTTCATCAACTGCTCGATCAAATAATGGAGTCCAAATTCAATAATGCGATTATTTTTATTTGGTTGCTTTCCTTGCCTGCTCCCACTATGTCTGTATATTACCTCATCGCTAGCTAGCTTGCTTTTGACCCATAAAGATAAAGACGGGAAAGATGGGGAAAAAAAGAAGCAGTTGATGATGAGAGTAGTGATGATCTTCTGTTTGTGCTTTGTTTGGAAAACACCATGCACTCACTATGATATATGGACAACGTGTGTTGCATTCCTGCCCCAACTTAATTAGGAGGCTCATATATATTAAGTGGACTTTGGCCAATGGCAACAACGCATTTCATGCGGATGGTGAAGGATTAATTAAAATAAATTATTATATTGTTGTGATTTATTGTACCAATTAATGATTTGGTGGAGGTTCTCATGGAGATCGATCTACATATAAATTTATTTACAATTATAGCTAGAAAAGTCTGTGATAAGGTATTTAATATTGAAATTGCAGTTCACCTGTTTTGTATTGCTAGAATTGTCTATCCAAACCTAAATTTATAGCCAGTTTTTTCGATCAGATCATCGATACAATATGATTTTTGCTAACATGTGATCCACACATTTTTCAATCACATTGGGTGTGAGGCAACATATCCAAGTAAATTGTTTCTAGGGTGCTTGCTGAAAAAAAAAACAAAAAAAAAATCTTCACTTGATGAGTGGAGGCCTGCTAGGAGAGCATATCAGTGAAGGAGCCAGGAGTGGCTATAGCCCCTCTCAAATTTGAAATTTAGGTAAAATTGTGTATAAAATTCATAAATTTTTTATGAAATAAAGTAGTCGGTAAGACGTTAGCCCCCTCCCTGAATTATTACGATTCAAGTCAGTCTCCTCATTCAGATTCATGGCTCCGTCACTAAGCAGGATTGAGAGTTAATTACCATAAAGAAATAATTAATATCTATTACGACTATCAAGGGTTCAAGAAGGTGTTAGGTGTAAGGCAGGCGTAGGGGTTGTGTCTAGTGTTTAGTTGCCTAGGTGTAGCCAAAGCGTATTTACATGGTGGAAGAAAAATAGCAATTTATACTATATCATGAATGAAATAAAAATTTATAACACTTTCACACTTCAGTTAAATATGATTAATGAGTTAATTAATACTTAACATTAAGAGAATTAGCTTGTAGGTTCACAAAAATAAATAGCTCACAAAGTTCTCGAACTACCGAAAATATTGATATAGAACATTTAGTTTGTAGATGAGGCTAATCCTGCATTTGATATTGACTCTGTAGCCCCATCTAATTATGTCGAGGATATGCCTACGTTTTGCCCTCATTTGTTGAAGTGTTCCCAATATTTAATACATTGCCGAAGCAAAACTTTTGGTGTTGATGAGGGCCTAAGTGTGCCTAAACATAAGTTTAAGTGCGTCTTTTTTAATCAAGATAAATATTATCATGGGTTTGTGATCGGGGTTCAAATACAAAATTTCTTATTCCACGTTTATATATTATAAACTACTTAGTATTAGTAACTCGAATCATTAAGAGATACCTAAAATAAAATCATGCCACTACTCTATACAACTGATCTCTTGTAGCAAATGAAGAAACCAAACATTGGGACTAATCCTGAAATTACATCTACACATAATATAATACACCGAAGGGAAAAACGGGAGCCCCATTTCAAATTTCCTGCAACGAGAGTGAAAATAGGAAGGACATTTTGGTCTTCACACTTACTTTTTTAATTCATTAAAAAGACACGTAGTGGGATTCGAACCATGACCATTTTAAGGAAAAGTAAGGATCATAACCAATCACACTAAGTACATTTGTTGCATCTTTTTAAATTAAAAAGATATAATAGCAGAGAGGAAAAAATCCTTCCCCCATTTCAAATTTCCTGCTCCAGGAGCGTTTGTAGGAATGATAGAATAGGGAGTGTCAATTTTTTCCTCTTTCCTCTGTGGAACGGGCCAACTTACCGTACACATGCGGATTTAAACGGGTTCAAGAGTGTCAAATTTTTCATTAAGCCCTTTTATTTCTCCGTGGTGATAAAATATATATGAAGAGGCAAAAAAAATACTTCTTTTTTATTGCTAAAAATAAAAAATTTAACAATAAACTAATGCATTGTATCTAATGGGCTAACCGCTAACCATAAAATAAAAGAGTTGAATTGGTTTGACCTACACGGGATTTGGCCATCAAGTAAAACAAATGAACATCATTGGTTTGACATTCTAAAACAAGCTATTTTCTCTGGCATAATATATTATGCTATTATTTTATATCTTAGTGGCTAAAATATAATGTATTTTAAAGTTATTCAATGGTTCAACCTCGACCAACCCAATTAGTCCAATTTTTATCATTTCAAATATATATTATATAATTATTTGATATCATAATGATCAAATCATAGTGTATTTTATAGGGAATCGTTTGGTATTTGTTAGTAAAAAACTAAACAGAAAGATCTATTTGGTTATTTTAAACATTAAAACGATCCTAACATTTTCAGTTCCTTTTGAATTTCTATGGTTTTATTCCCGAATAAGTGATGTGCAAATGGCAGTCATCTCTTTTCTTTCACTATTTTTTATTTTCAAATAAAAAGTTTAAAAGTAAAGAATAATTAGAATTTGGCATGGGTCGGTCAAACAGGCTGCATTTCAAGTTTTGGCCCCTTTTGATCAAGTCTAATTTATAATCACATGGTTCCCTGATACCCGATAAAAATCTCAATCCAAACCAGTTTGGCAGGTGAGTCCGTGTTTACCACCATTTTCTAGGGATACGACAACGACGGTTCCTATCCCAAATCGTGTTGTTCGTTCTTTATTTCCTTAGATTTTATCATAGCCTGAAAAAAACCAGAAAGCACAATGACGACAAGATGAAAGTTTTATAAACCAAATTAATCGGCCAACGGGCCGAGTAAAAGCTAGCAACGATTGTGAGATGCTCATTTCCCGAAAACCGACGGGATAGGCGATTTTTTATTCAATTTTCTGGAATTCAGTTTCTATAAAACTTACTCCACCTCATCATATTACCAGAAACAATATTGTTTCACAAGGTAACAGGTACTTGATTTTGGTTCATAAGGCCGATTTTTGATTTGTTGCATCATTAATGTCTCTTTCCTGCTAAAATTCACTATTTTTATCACGTGTTTCCCAAAAAAAATATACAACAATAAGTTATACACCCCATTACATTATCAAATTTCATACCTCACCTTCCTCTAGGGATGAAAACAAAATCCGAACCCACGGGTACCCACCCTACCCAACTCGGTCAACGCGGGTAAAATCCGTGTTGACGGGTTTTGGGCCGGGTTTGGGTTTAAACCCGTTCAATATTCATCGGGTTGGGTTGGGTTTGGGTTTAGGTAAACCCGACCCATGGGTACCCGCCCACACCCATATAATTAATTTTCTCGATATATTTAATATTCTAAACAACTTATCTTATTTATGTTTGTGGAGACATGTCTAATTTTTTCTTTCTAATTGTGTAGAATGAAGTTGATGTTATCGAGTGGAGAGTGAAGAAACTTAATTGAAAGGAAGAAGCTTTCAATTAATCATGTTATTTATGGATAATTTGTTATTTGCTTGAATTTTCTAGAATGGTATTTTATATATGGATAATTTGTATTGAGAGATTGATATTTGACTTTAATTTTGATAGCAACTTGTTATTGTAAATTTTTTAAGACAAAAACCTGCGGGTACCCATGAACCCACGGATACCTAGGGGGTTGAGTTGGGTTTGAGTTTTTCAAACCCAGTGGATTTTACCCCGAATTTTTTTCACGGATAAACCCATGAATTTGGATTTGAATTTGGCAAAACCCGACCCATTGCCATCTTACCTTCCTCCGGCCAACTGACCGGGGCCCACACTAGTTATATTAATATATAACCCCGAACCCTTACCCGCTGAAATCTCATTCCTAATCGACCCTTGACCGCACAACATACCCTACCCAAGCAACCACAACAACAACGATAAAAAAAATAACCTCATTCAGCAACTCGAATTATTGAAATAATATATCGTATATAACATGATACATAGAGGTGGGTTCTGAAAACAACAAATACTGACGTGTAACAGGGATGAAAACCCATGCATGACACCTATCATACTTAGAGCTACGTACACATCAGTTTCAATCGAATTAAAAGACAAGAAAATTAAAGCAAGCTGGGCAGACCTTGGAAGGCTGTGCGTGGGGTGAGTGTATGCATTGCACACAACGTAATACATGTGGCTACGAAGAGAGTCGTGGAGTGAAGGAGGTATAGAAATGGGGGGTGACACAGCATCCATTTCTGCTTCTGACTGCATGCATGGCTTTCAGATAAGGATTCCCACTACCATCGACCGCCTGCCTCCTCAGTTGATTCCGTCACGGAAACCAGAATCACATAATATGAAAAGCATAGTTACGTTGTGGATAAAGAATGGCCAGTATGCTTTTATTGTGCATTTGTATTTGTACGTTTACCTTTGGGCAATTAGCTCGATCGCTTCCTATAATTGCCAAAGTCCTCATGCATCATCGAAGCACTTTACACCCACCCTAAACCCGACCCATAGCGAACCACCACACCACCATTTTTCTCCATAAGGTTTCCATAAATAGGAGCCAGCTGCATAATTATATTAGTGGTCATAAAGAAAACTGCACCTAATTAAACCCCGTTCCGAACGTTCAATCAATCAAATGCACAAGATAAAAAGAAGAGCGTGCGCTATTGGCGCATCTCTACTCTATGGCGCTAGCCATTCATACCGGGTGTTCAGCAAAATTAAAGAATTAGGGTGGGTGGGTATAGAATTCGGGTTTTCGATTTGATTATAAGTTCAATTGGGTTTGATTAATAATATCTTAAATGGTGTGGCGTGCTGATTGGACGGAAGTAATGATTTTTTGGATGGAGTTGAACGGAATTAATTATTTTGTTATTAGTCCAAACATAAGTTACAAAAACGTGTAAACATTAAAAATTTGTGACCGTTTTGTACAAAACAAATAGTTTTGTGACCATTTATAATAATTGTTTGAGCCTAAGTGACATGGGGTCGCTCGGGTCGGGGGGTTGGGGTTATAGACATGACTACGAGAGTGCATGCACCTCTCACTCTTAATTAACTAAATCACAAGGGAAAGACTAGAGAGAGAAAGTAGAGAGAAGTTGTAGTAAATGTAGATAGCTTGCCATTTATGAGGAGAACACTACTATTTATACAAGTCTGGATGTTATGTGAGTGGTCCATGCACCTCAGTCTCTCTATCACTGTACATTGTACTTCTTGTCAGAAGGTGTCTGGTGGTGCAGAGGGTGTCCCCCTAACCTCTTTCTTGTTGACATCAAGTGTGCCAACTTGTCTCTTATTCTTGTCTTCTCCCTCTGATGATGTAAGTCTCTATGATTTTGCCCCTATGTCTTGGCTTCTCTTGGACTCTTCTTATGGACCTTCTCTAAGTATTAGGCTTTACTTTCATACCATATCAATTGCCTCTTTGGCGTCGGTATGAGTATCATGGTTGCGTCAACATAAAGAGTCTTTCGCTAACCTTGCTTTCTCGTCTTCTCAATCAAGTGCCAGCTCTCTTTCTTTACTTAATCGCCACCAGGCTCTTCCTTTCAAGTGAGTGCTTCATTCCCTTATCGATCTTCTGATCTGTTGAGCGCTTGCGTACCCTCGAGGGTGTGCTTGCTTCCAAACAAGATGCAGTAAAATGAGAAAGAATAAGCACATGTCTCAAGTAACGGAGACTAGCTGAAGAAGCAATCATGCCCCTTTTATCAAGCACCTGACGCTTGTATTCTTCCTTTTCTCATCAATTATTTCCCGAGTGCCTGCTCTTGCATCTTAGAGGATGCGACTAACATCTTGTAAGGAGCTCCTATGCTCTGCCGATATGATCTTCTTCCAACTATTTGAGCGTTTTAAATCGTTTAAGATGATTCAATCTATCTTGACAATCAAATGAAATTGAAACAAACTTATCAGTTTTCCTTTAAACACTTTGTACCTTGCCCATTTGAAACGAGCGCCTAGAGCTCTTTTCTCATTTTCTTATTTTTGCCAAAAGATGCCCCCTGTTAATCCCGCTTTCCATTCATTGTCTGAGTTGCTCCATTTTTATTTCGATTACTTGTGCTCTTTTAGAAGAGTGCTTGATTCGATGCTTTGGCTAAGCACTTGTCACCCAGCTTGTTGTTAGTTTCTTTAAGACCCAAACTGAACGAGGAGCCTGGTGGCTCGCTCCTTTGCCGAGGTGCCTGACCTGCAGTTAGGCGCCTGACACCTCACTCCTTCAGGGAGGTGTCTAACCTTCAGTGGGGCGCCTGGCAACTCGCTCCTTTGTCGAGGGGCCTAACCTTTGATAGGGCGCCTGAAACCTCACTTTTTCAGCAAGGTGCCTGACCTTCAGTTGGGACTTTGAGGTCTGGTATGCCCATGGTCATTGTGTATAGTGAGACACGATGCAAGGAGAAGGGTTTTGGCATGGCACGATCTATCGCTATGACTTGAAGACAGATTATCAGTCGTCAATTGGAAGATAGATTACTAACGGTGTCGATTTTCCAATCCGTTCTAACAACACCATTGAGTTGCCCCTTGTTTTGAGAGCTTGAGCTTCATCCGTCTTCAACGTTATCGACTTCATTCGTCTTATTCTACTCTTCCCTCACAAAATTGAAAACTCCTACCCCTCTGGTAAGCTTCTCCTCTCATTTTTTCTTTGTGCTTGACACTAGGGGTGAGAAATGGTTCGGTCCAGTTAAACTGGACCGAATTAACCCGGTTTTTTAAAACCATTTTGCTCAATACCACAACCAAAGACGGGATTGGATTGAATATGGTTTTAACCAAAATCGGCCTGTATGAGATCCGGTCCGGTCCAGTTTCAACCCAAAAACCGAATGAAGCTATTTCCTGCTCAAAACAAAGTCGTTTTCTTCCGACTAGCATAATTCTTATTTGACCTCTCCGCCATTTCGCGACTTCAATCCCACTTATCCTCACAATCCTTCCCTTTATATTCTTCTCCCTTTTCTTTTCAGATCTACAAACGATGATGGCAGCATTGGAAGTTGGAGGAATGCTGTGTCAGTGATGCTTGCAAAGCAGTGTCGGCGCAGTACCATATGTCGACACCGGAACTCCCGACCCTCCTAAAATGTTGCCCAATCGGAGGTGGCCTCGATCGGAGAGGCAAGCAGAGAGAGATGCAATCGACATTGATAAGGCGGATGGTGGCCGGGAGGCGACAAGGCGAGTCGGGGTCATTTGGCGATTGGAGTCACGGGAAGGGGAGATCGAGCAAGAGAGGGAGCATGCAAACTCTAAAGAGGCATGGAAGTTGGAGAGCTCCTTCGTCGCCGTCGTCGCGCGCATGGAAGTTGGAATTCTTCGCCGCCATCATGAGTAGATAAATATGAGACCGTCGTCGATCATCGCTAGGCTCAACTAAGCGTTCGTCGTCCAGAGGGTAGTTAGGCCGGAGGGACATTAAAGAGAACGGGAAGAAGATTTGAGAAGAGAGAACTGGAAGAAGAGGTAGCAGCGCTGAGAAGAAGTGGGTGATCAATATTTAGGGTTTGGACTCATTGGGCTGTGGTGTTGACTCGCTCTGACTACCACAATAAAATCCCACCTAAGGTCCAAGTATAAACCTTAGATGGGTGCAATATAGGGCAAGTATGTTTAAATATCAACCCGGGCGGGCCCATGTACCGCTACTTTGATTGTTTGAAACATTATCTAGCGGATAGTTTTGGTGAAAACAAAGATCTAAAACTAAAGTACTTTGCAAAGAGAAATGGGTTTGACACTAATTAAGAAAGCTTCACACATGTGTTGCTCCCCCTAGCTAACAATTACGACTTGATGGATCGAATGCCCGTGTGTGGCGAGGGAGTTATAAACCACAGGAAAGTCTAACAAGTAGCCAAAGCTACCCTCTTAGTCTCTAGGTCGAGGAAAGGGATACGATCCAAGCCACTACTGTGACTCTCTCAACCTTTTGACTAAGGATTGGTTAGACTTCACCCTCGAATTGGAGTTCGGACGACCACCCACAACCAAATCCTAAGTGCTAATACGAAATAGGAGTTTTTCTCTGCATTAACCTAACTAGGAGACAATGAATTGCCCAAGAAAACTCAACATTCAAGCCTCTTTCAAAGAAAGGAATGGGGGTCTGCCTAGGTTAGAATTGCAATTAGATTGATAGGCTTTCACACAACACAATCATTCATGTATAATACCTCCACATTCACATTAAACACAACCACACACAAATCATTTAATTCATACAAGCATTCACATAATTGTAGCTAGGGTTTACAAACACCCAAGTGAAAGAAGGGACTACTCCATGCTAAGAGAAGGGAAAACACAAGAGAGAAAAAGGGAAACCATCAAAGAGATGCTAGCCTTGCTCCTTGTGTTGAAGAGATCCTCCTTTTGGGGAGGAATTCCCAATTCCTTGCTTGGAGATGAAACCCTAGCTTCTCCTCTTCTTTGGTTCGTCACTTTCTCACTCTACAAATATGAAGAATAAGAATTTTCTCACACTAGGTTTCTCCCTCTCTTCTTTCTCTCAGCTAGCTCTTTATACTGAGATCGTGCCCAATTCACGGCCCAAGTTCACGACCGTGAACATCAAAACGCATCTGTGAACATAGTGTGTTGAATCAAAACGCACTGACACGCCAAAACACAACACCTAACAATGGCCAAGTGTAACCAATGAAAGGGACTGCAGTATAGTTGCACAAGTAATAAATATCGAATCCACGGGTCTCTAGAGTTACTATTACTCAGCTTCAGTTCATTATCTAGCAAACTAGATTAAGGATTGATTAACTAAACTACTCTACTAACTAAACTAAGTAAAACTACTAATTACAGTTAGGGAACTCACTTAGGTATGATTCCCCCTAGCTCCTCAATCAGGTCCACGTTGTAATTCCTTTTGGTTGTTTTACTGTTGATTAAACTGCGGAAGATCCGAAAGTAGCTTGGAATCTCTTAAGCTGACCAAGCCCTCTCAGTCTAACTATCCGGCAGACGACTAGTCTTCACCGGGATAGAAAGCTGAAGCAATAAGCACAGAACTCCACTACTGGAATTGGATTCCAGTACAAAGCAGTAAACTGGCTAACTCTCGTATAGCCAATCTCCTACTACCGAATGATGAGACTCTAGCAACCTAATCAGATTCTATCTATCTCAGATTGCAGCAGGAATCAGGAAAAGTTGATCAGACTTCAGTTGACTCAATAAACATGCATCATTCGATTATAATCAAACAACATAGCATCCAAAACTTCATACAAGCAAGCTCCTAACTCATGGAACTAGGGTTCCTCAAAACCTAAGTGAAGGGAAGTTACTCCATAGAGAAGAGAGAGACTGCAGAAATCTGATCTAGATCTTCAATCTCCATCTCCAAGCTTGATTCCCGAGCTTCAATGGCGAAGAAATCCTCCAAAATAGCTCCAAGAATGTTCCCAAGTCGCTCTCTCTCTCTAGGGTTCGTCCCTTGGGTGTTTGGGATCCAAAACCCAGCTCTCCTCTTCTTTGGTTCGGAATTTGGCTTAAAACCAGGAAATCCCGACTCGCACGGCCAGGGTGCACGGCCGTGCATATCACCATTCTGGCCGTGCAACTCAAAATGCAGCCTGTCATTTAGTCGAACTTCAGCCCTCTCGCACGGCCAGGGTGCACGGCCGTACGAGCTTTAGGGGTTGCCCGTGCGTGTCCTCGGCATAAGGCGCACGGCCATATTGCTCACGTGCACGGCCGTGCAGCCTCCCTGGTCTGCCCGTGCAGCTCCCCAAAAACCTCGCCATTCGTCCGTTCTTCGTCCAATCGACCCCAGACTCGCTCCTAAGCCTTCATTCACGTACTAGGACCTGAAATATCACAAACAAGCACAACCTAGCGTGAAATCGGTCTAAAACACGAGAATCAACACCTCAAACGGTGTAAGAATGGGGGTAAAAACATGTGTAAATGACGGTCTATCAAACTCCCCCACACTTAACCGTTTGCTTGTCCCCAAGCAAACCAAACTCAAACCAATGCAACTCTCCAGACCTCTACAGCAACAAACAACCCAGATCGTAGGTAGAGGACTTCCTAGATCATTTAGCAGCTTACGAGGTCAACCGACGCACAAGTCATCTCATAACTTCTTCGGCGAGTCGGCATCATGGCAAATAGTGAACAGAGGACAAATGAATTGTGGATGAAGAGATTCTCAAAAACAAAGGATCATGGACTCACATTTTTCAAGGTGCTCTATTTTCTTCTTGAAGATGGTTGAGACCCCCTTTTTTTTTCCTGTTTTGCTTGTTTTCTGATATTTTTCTTTTCTTTTCTTTTTCAAGGGTCCCAACCTGCTCTTACCGGCCATGCCAGGAGCGGATGTCTCGAGCCTCGTGCGGGGGAAAGACATGTAAGGGGGCTGGAGGTAGTAGGTGGAAATTGGGAACGAATTCCCGTCTCCCTTTACACACTTTCGCCCTATTCGCACGGGAGACGTTTATTTTGAAGCACATTTTCGAGCACCTGTTATTTTCAAAACATGATACAAGAGTCCATGACAGGTAGAAAATCCACAACACCACACAATTCAAGGGTCCTAAGATCACTAATTCACTCAATCAACCAACTTTATATGAAGAAGAAATGAGACTTCTTAAATGCATCAACATCCTCCATAGTGCTACACTACCTCCCTAGGTTGCATATTACTGTAAAGACTGTCAATTCAAAGCATACTGAGCAGGCAATTGCATGGAACACGTACTTGGAGCCCTCAAATTTAAAAATTTGGACAGTGGACTAGGCTCCAAGCACACAAACAGCCAAACATTCACACGCATTCATAATCGAACATCCCCCCACACTTAAGCACGACATTGTCCTCAATGGAGGAAAGATAAGGAGGGTAGAACGAAGTTACCAGATCAAGGGTGAATGATGATGAACGGGTCAGGCGGTGCATTCCAGAAAGAGAGAGTAATCAGAACACAAACACCACACAAAATCTCACAAAGGTTGAGTTATTGACTCTAAAATCAAATAACAAAACTGACTCAACCGAGGAGAAAAAGAGAAAGAAATGCAAACCGACTGGTTGGGTTGCCTCCCAACAAGAGCTTCTTTCACGTCGTGAGCCGGACGATGGCTCCTAAGTTTCGGTCCATGCTAGAACCTCCTTGAATTTGAGGTTCTCGTCGATGAGGTGGAGTCTCAAGTCACGAGCATGTGGTGTGGCAGGTGATGAAGGCTCATGTACTTGATGCAGATGAAGTCTCCACCCTCGAGACCTCTTCTTCTCTTCTCTCGTCTCATTGCCCCAAACCAGATATGACAGTATCGATTGGCCACCATCGCGTCCATCAAGAGGGACCGATGTCGATGTGGCCTTGGTCTGGCAAAGAGACACTGCAAATGGGTCCTTGCCAAGCAGTTCCTCAAAGTTTGGTGGGGATATTACTTGCAACTCATGGCCGGTGCATGCCTCTTCCACCTCAACTTCATCCTCAGCCTGGACGCCAATTGCTTCCTCAACCCCCCTTCCTTCTTCAAAATGTGGTCTCTCCCCTGGGAAAAGATCAAGAACCACCTCTTCTTTTCTTTCTTCCTCATCCTCCACAACTTCTTTCTGCACCCTTTCTTGCTCTTCTTCTTCTAGCACAGATTGGAGAGCAAGTCGCCATGTAATTTCTTCAATGAGATCATCTTGCATCTCCTCGCTCGGGCCCAGCATGTTAGAGCAGAAATAAGGAATTGTGTGATCTGCAACCAGAGGACTTTCCTGATCATGATTATCATGGGAGTTCTCTGTGATAACTTCTGTATGCTCCTCAACGCTCCCGTAGCCTTTGTCATCCTCCACCTCTTCTAGCGTGGCAGTAGAAAGGTGATCTTGAGCAAGATGTGAGCAAACTTGCTTCACCCACTCTGTTTGCTTCGCTGAGCGCTGAACAGTCTCCTCCATATCATGGAGAAATGAGGGATCGGAAGTGGCAAGGGCTTTGATTTGAAGATCCATCTTGGAGCATGATTTCTCAGTGTCTCGAGCAAACTGCTCCACGAGAAGTCTTAATTGTTCGTTCGGATCCTCCAGTGAAGTGTAGCATGGCTCTGCAGAGTGGCCCGTGAAGGCCGCCATGGGTAACTCCAGCTCCGATGGCCCTTCTGGTTGTGGGAGAAAGTCTTCTTGGTAATGAGGTTGTTCTTGATATGCCCAGGGGTCTGATTGTTCTCCGTAGTAAGGGGGTTGGTACTGGAACCCGAATCCATAGTCTTCTCCTCCTTGATTGCTGTAGGGAGCCGCGGGGTAATACCACCCGGATGGTGGTGGATACCCCCAATGATTGGAGAAGCCATTAGGATCCATGATTCAGATCTGCACCAACAAAAACAAAAACACCCAAGTGAAAAGCAAGGGTGGAAAAGAAAAGAAAATAAAAACGCTAAAGTAACAAACTTCTGCCTTTCCTAATACTCTAGAAAGTCCCCGGCAACGGCGCCAAAAACTTGACACGCCAAAACACAACACCTAACAATGGCCAAGTGTAACCAATGAAAGGGACTGCAGTATAGTGGCACAAGTAATAAATATCGAATCCACGGGTCTCTAGAGTTACTATTACTCAGCTTCAGTTCATTATCTAGCAAACTAGATTAAGGATTGATTAACTAAACTACTCTACTAACTAAACTAAGTAAAACTACTAATTACAGTTTGGGAACTCACTTAGGTATGATTCCCCCTAGCTCCTCAATTAGGTCCACGTTGTAATTCCTTTTGGTTGTTTTACTGTTGATTAAACTGCGGAAGATCCGAAAGTAGCTTGGAATCTCTTAAGCTGACCAAGCCCTCTCAGTCTAACTATCCGGCAGACGACTAGTCTTCACCGGGATAGAAAGCTGAAGCAATAAGCACAGAACTCCACTACTGGAATTGTATTCCAGTACAAAGCAGTAAACTGGCTAACTCTCGTATAGCCAATCTCCTACTACCGAATGATGAGACTCTAGCAACCTAATCAGATTCTATCTATCTCAGATTGTAGCATGAATCAGGAAAAGTTGATCAGACTTCAATTGACTCAATAAACATGCATCATTCGATTATAATCAAACAACATAGCATCCAAAACTTCATACAAGCAAGCTCCTAACTCATGGAACTAGGGTTCCTCAAAACCTAAGTGAAGGGAAGTTACTCCATAGAGAAGAGAGAGACTGCAGAAATCTGATCTAGATCTTCAATCTCCATCTCCAAGCTTGATTCCCGAGCTTCAATGGCAAAGAAATCCTCCAAAATAGCTCCAAGAATGTTCCCAAGTCGCTCTCTCTCTCTAGGGTTCGTCCCTTGGGTGTTTGGGATCCAAAACCCAGCTCTCCTCTTCTTTGGTTCGGAATTTGGCTTAAAACCAGGAAATCCCGACTAGCACGGCCAGGGTGCACGGCCGTGCATATCACCATTCTGGCCGTGCAACTCAAAACGCAGCGTGTCATTTAGTCGAACTTCAGCCCTCTCGCACGGCCAGGGTGCACGGCCGTGCGAGCTTCAGGGGTTGCCCGTGCGTGTCCTCGGCATAAGGCGTACGGCCATATTGCTCACGTGCACGGCCGTGCAGCCTCCCTGGTTTGCCCGTGCAGCTCCCCAAAAACCTCGCCATTCGTCCGTTCTTCGTCCAATCGACCCCAGACTCGCTCCTAAGCCTTCATTCACGTACTAGGACCTGAAATATCACAAACAAGCACAACCTAGCGTGAAATCGGTCTAAAACACGAGAATCAACACCTCAAACGGTGTAAGAATGGGGGTAAAAACATGTGTAAATGACGGTCTATCACGCACCAATTCACTTCTTGGGTTCATGGTTTGTGGTTGGAGTTCACGGTCTTAGCGACCGTGAACAGCATTGGCGTTTGTAACTTCATAAACCCCCCTGGACGCTTCATGGGTCATGGTTCCAGTTCACGGTCCTGGCGACCGTGAACACAGGCTGATTCCTCCTCTTTGCCCGATCTTTGCTCCTTTTCTTCCAACTTTTGACTCTGGGGTTGGTTTCACCCGTTAGACACTGAAACACAATAAACCTAGCATAAAACCACACCTTTTGGAGCTCAATTGCGAAAAACGTCAAAGAGAAACGAGGATAAAAGTGTACAATTAAGCCCGAATCAGGTGTGCATGTTGTGGGAAATGGGCTCATGGATTGTGTGGTGTGCAGGCTCTGGTCTGTGGGGTAGTTACTCGATTTCTGGTTAAAAGCGGACCAAATTGGACCGGGTACCCCTAGGCTCTGACTGTAAAATGGATTGGGTTACATGCTATCCGATTTTCGGTTAGAACTGGGCCGGTTTAAGCTGGACGGTTTCCGATTTTACTGGAAAACCGAGACCAGATTTCCACCCCTGCTTGACACGCACCTAGCTCTACCGTTATTTTCCTTTTTCCTCCTTCTAGCATTTCCTAGCGCTTGTCATTCTACTTCGCCACACCATAGCGCCATGAGTCATCCAGATTTTTTGAGCACGTGCCACTTTGCTAATCGCTAGAGCCACCCCCCCCCCCCTCATTTGAACGAGCTTCCAGTTCCAACCTCGCTTGTGTGACTTTTCTCCTTTATTGAGTGCCTAGCACTCTCTCATTCTGTCCCTCGAGACTTCTCTTTCTTTATTTATTCACTCCTTTCTTTCAAACCGCCTGGCGGTTCTACTTTGCCCAACCTTAGCATCACCAACATTTAATTCAAGCTCTAGCACTCTCCCCATTAACCGATTATCTCTCCTTTATTGACACCACAACTCACGGAGCACTTGTCTCTGTTTCTTCTTGCCGACCTACTGAGTCATTGATAGACCATTATTTACACATGTTTATAACTCTATTCTCGAGCCGTTTGAGAGTCGATTCTTGTGTTTTAAGCTGATTTCACGCTAGGTTATGTGTTTATGTCATATTTCAGACTTGGCGTTGACGTGAAGGCGAAGAAACGAGTTTCCGGTAAAAAAGAAGGACATTGGAGTGAAGGGCGCTGGAAGAAGAAAATACCCGACCATGAGTTAAAAATACCCGGCCGGGTAAATTGCTAAGGGAGGCCGGGGATTCACGTTTTTGGACGCCAAGAAGGCAGGAGGGGTCCCGGCCAGAGAGGAAAAATACTCGATCGGGTGTTCTGGACCACGACCAGGTATTAATCCCCTATGCGATACTATGCGTTTTGAAATCCCCGGCTGGACACCTAAAATACCCAACCGGGTATTATGGTCGGGGATCGCGATCTGCTGGTTCTTAAGTAAAGGAAGGCCAACTTTTAATGGGTTCCGAGTTTTAGAGAGACAAAGGTGATACCTAGAGAGAGTGACGAACCTGATTCTCCAAGTGCCCTAGATCGATCTTCATCACCATTGGAGCCCGACTTGAGCTTGGAGAAGTGCCGATTGATTGCCAGAAGCAGAATCCCATCCTTCACAGTATGGTTTCCGCGTCTGAGCTAGATTTCCCTTATCTCTCTATGGAGTAAACTTTCTCATTCACCTGGGTATGAAGAACCCTAGACTTGTATGTTAGGTCTGATTGTATGAACCCAAGTACGAATTCCGTGATATGATTATATTCAATTGAGGTTTGATTTCTTGAATGGCATGAATCCTAATCAAATTCCTGTTATTTTTGCTTTGACCTAGAAAGAGAATATCCACCTAGGTTGATAGAGCACCCTTGATTGAAGGTAGTGAATTGATGACTTTAGTCGAGGAGTCAATTCACTATTCTGTACCGGATTTACTTCGGTAGAGGAGGTTTGGTTCGTTAGGGCCTCAATCTGTTTACTCCGGTGGAGGTGAGTCACCCGCTGGGGACTCAGATTGAGAGGGTCTGGAGACCTTTAGTCGAGACTGCAGACTGTTTTAGAACCTCCCGCAGTATAACTATCTTTGAACTTGAACTTGGTGAATTACAACCTGGCTTAACTGCAGTCTAGGGGGAACCATATCTGGGTGACCTCTCTCAACTTGAACACAACTTTCACTGCTTTTGCTTGCTATTTTAGTTAAAACTTCACTACACTTGAACCGCTAAATAATAAGACTTTCACGGAGTAATCATCACACCTAGGACCCGGGTTGACATTTAGAACTAAATCCGCTATACTACGCATTAGTAGGTGGTTACACTTGGCCATTTCTAGTGTGACGGTAGAGGCGTGTCAGTCATCTCGACGATTCTGAGAATGTTGTTGGATCATATACAATAAATTGAGCGTTTATGCTCTTTGTCCTCTAGTTCAAGCGCTCATTCTTTCTTCTTTCCAATGTTCCGGAGAAATCATATACGTTAAACAAGTTGGGGCGCCATGCTTCTTTTTTACATTGCTATAATTATCTTTTGGTAAATTCCTCTTGCCGTCTTGCGCCTAGTCACAGGGTTCGGGTGCCTTTCTCCTTTGTTTTTTAGCGTACCTTCAGCTCTATCCCTTTCCGAGACCCACATTATAAAGGTTTCAGGTGATTCTACTCTTCCTTTCATTAAGGCCTCCGAGCGCCTTTGCATTTTGTTTCCTTTGGTTCGATTAAGCATTCAAGCGCTTCCATAGTCAGCATCCTTTTATTTTTCCTTTGAACTTACTTGTTGGCAACACAACTTGATTACTTTCATGCATTTGTGCGCTTCTTCGTGGATGATTTTCCATTGACTTGATTGTCTCTCTATGCATATAGACGACACTGCTTTTCTTTAATTCTATTGAGCACTTAAACGCTCAAGATATGAACTTTCAGTTTGAATTTGCTCGGTGCCACGCAAACCTTCAATTCTTTCAATTTTATTCGATTGAGTGCCACTTTTACTTTCTTCATTCTTGCTTCTTTGGTTCTTTAGCATAGAATAAGGCTTGGGTGATCTCCTAATAGGCAAGTACTTTTGTTCTTTTACTAGACACGAGTGCTAGCTCTCCGTCGCTACGTTCGTGTGCCTCCTGTTAATTCCCTAAGCCCACATATTAGCTTCCCCTTTTGATTCATCTCTTCAACTTTAAGCATTGGTCATTGACTCCTTTACTCGTGCTCCCTCGTCGATTTTAAATAATTTTTAGGGGCCCATGAGCTTTCTTTCTTCCAAATTTCTTCGTTTCTTCCACTCCAATGCTCGGCGTCCCTTATCTTTTATCCGAGCGTCAAGATTTATCCTTTATATCGGTTCAACTATCCATTGATTTAGTAAAACTTGCTAAGCGCCCAAGCACTTCCCCTCACTAACGCTATTTCCTTAGTTTGAAGCACCGGTTTTGATTCTTGTAGGGTAGATTTTTTGCTTCAATCATCTTTACTTGCTTTCTAGCCTTTCTCAGGCGCATCGTGTGGCCTTGTTTGCTCCTGTGTATTAGCATACACGTTTTTCATTGGGTGGAGAGCGATTCTTTCTGGTGAAAATCTTGGGAGAGCCTCATCCTGTTATCATTTTCTTTCCTCACCGAGGCATGATCGCCTGGGCGCTTGCGCTCTTCTTTGCTTTTCAGTTGATATGAGGTTGACGAATTCTCCTCTCCATGAAGTCGAGGCGTCTCTTGCTAGTGGTAAAGAGCAGGGCAGACCACCTACTAGTGGTGATGGTGATTCTAGCTCTTCCGATGATTCTTCAAGCAAGTCGGATGTGGAGTAGCTTTGACGAGAGCATCGCTGCTTCCTTGGTAGATAGTGATATATCTATGCTATAAAATTTTTGAGGGATGTGTTGGGGACACCGCCTCTCATGGGGACTTGTAATCTAGACGCCCAACAATTGACAAAGGAGTTGAGCACAAGTTTTAAGGCTCTTCCATATTGGTGGGAAAGAAAGCGGTGGGGTTCAACACCCATAACCGTTCGTGGTGCTCCCGAAAGCATTGCCCTGACGCTCTTGAAAATGAAATAACGCGCCTAGCTTCTCCTCGATGGAGGAAGCGATCTATATGAGCTCCATCTGTCTAAGCATGGAAATTTTGAGGGATGTGTTGTGGACATCGCATCTCATGGGGACTTGTAATCTAGGCGTCTGACACTCAACTAAAGAGTCGAGCACAAGCTCTAAGGCTCTTCCACGTTGGTGGGAAAGAAAGTGGTAGGGTTCAAAACCCTTAACTGTTGGTGGTGCTTCCCAAAGCATTGCACCGGCGCTCCTGAAAAGTAAATAACACGCCTAGCTTCTCCTCGATAGAGGAAGCGAGCTATATGAGCTCCATCTATCTAAGCAGGGATAATTCAAGGGATGCGTTGGGGACATCGCCACTCATGGGGACCTATGATCTAGGCGTCCGACACTCAACTAAAGAGTCGATGACAAGCTCTAAGGTTCTTCCACGTTGGTGGGAAAGAAAGCGGTGGGGTTCAACACCCTTAACTGTTGGTGGTGCTCCCCAAAGCATTGCATCGACGCTCCTGAATAGGAAATAACTCACCTAGCTTCTCTTCGACGGAGGAAGCGAGCTATATGAGTTCCATTTGTCTAAGCAAAAAGATGATATCCTCAAAACAATCACGTCATGATGCGGTGGAGGTGCTCTTTCTTTTTTCTTTAAGATTGTCAAAGGAGCACACCTTCATTGTTTGCATTTTGACCTGTAATTGCTGCATCTTTCGGTGAAGGTAAAGCAAGACTCTTAGTATAGGATATGTAGTTGCATCTTCCGAAAAATTCATTTATGTGACCTTCATGATCGGTCCTTCCTTTGTACACGAGGATGCTTGGACTTGCGAGGTTAGGTCTTAGCGCTTACAACATTCCCTTAGTACTTGCCAAATAATGGCATGTCTCTGGCGTCTCTTCCTCTTTCAAGTCGCCTGGCGCCTGCTGCAACCATCGGTTAAGGTAGAGGTAGCCGTTTGATTATTCCATCTTCCACATTGCGCCCTTTCTTAGAGATGTCCTTGAATGTTCGCCATCTTTCATTTTTGTTTCTCTTCGTGCATGGCGAGGAGGCACCTTAAGTGTTCAGTCTCCTCTTTGGTTGGCATATCATCATCGGAAAGTTCCACTTCTTGTGTAGCGACCGCCTATAGGTTAGGCACCTCTCGACCATTCACCTGTTATTGGGGTGTCTTGGTTGCGGCCACACTCTTCTCTTGTGCTCTCTTTAAGGGGAAAGCGTCTTTTGAAGTCATGCCTGGCCCCACGATGGGCGCTAATTGTTTGAGCCTAAGTGACAGGGGGTTTGGGGTGATAAACATGACTCCGAGAGTGTAGGCGCCTCCCACTCTTAGCTAGAGCACGAGGGAAAGGACTAGAGAGAAAGTAGAGAGAAGTTGTATTAAAAGTAGATAGCTTGCCATTCACGAGGAGAACACTCCTATTTATACAAGACTGGATGTTATGTGGGTGGTCCATGCACCTCAGAGTCTCTGTCACTGTACATTGTACTTCTTGTCAGAAGGTGTCTATTGGTGCATAGGGTGTCCCCCTAACCTTGATTCAGACTCATTTGTACACTTTTTACCCCCGATTTGCTTAGTCGATTGAAGCATTTTACTCCGGGAGGTTTGGTTTTACGCCGGGTTTTTCCTTGTTTTGGTGTTTTTCAGACTTTGGTAGGTGGAACCAACCCCGGAGTCAAAAGTTGGACGAAAGGGAGAGACCTAGCCCGAGCTATTAGTTCACGAACGTGAACTAGGACCGTGATCTTTGCCCGATCTGGGTATATAAAGGAGGTTGAGCTTAAGGAAAAAAAGGGAGAGAACTAGTGTGAGAAACTTCTTCTTCTTCAGATTTCTAGAGTGAGAAAGTGACAAACCAAAGAAGAAGAGAAGCTAGGGTTTCATCTTCAAGGAATTATTTGGGAATTCCTCCCCCAAAGGAGGATCTCTGCAACATAAGGAGCAAGGCTAACATTTCATTGATGATTTTCCTTCTTCTTTCTTGTGTTTTCCCTTCTCCTAGCATGGAGTAGTCCCTTCTTTCACTTGGGTGTTTGTAAACACTAGCTACAATTATGTGAATGCTTGTATGGATTGAATGATTTGTGTATGGTGGTGTTTAATGTGAATGTGGAGGTATTATTCATGAATGATCGTGTTGTGTGAAAGCCTATCAATCTAATTGCCATTCTAACCTAGGTAGAGAGAAAACCCCCTTCCTTTCTTTGAAAGAGGCTTGAATGCTGAGTTTTCTTAGGCGATTCATTGTCTCCTATCTAGGTTAATGCAGGGCAAACCTCTTATTTCGTATTAGCACCTAGGGTTGGCTGTCGGTGGCCGTCCGAACTTCGATTCGAGGTTGAAGTCTTAGCAACCCTTAGTCAATAGTTCGTGAGAGTCACATTGGTGGCTTGAATCTGATTCCCTTCTCTCGACTTAGAGACCGAGAGAGTGGCGCTTGGCTACTTGTTGCACTTTCCTATGGTTTATAACCCCCTTACCACACACGACCATTCGATCCAACGAGTCATAATTGTTAGCTAGGGGGAGCAACACCCGGGTGAAGCCTTCTCAATTAGTGTCAAATCCATTTACCTTTGCAAACGTTTTAGCTTTAGATTGTTGTTTTCACCAAAAATCACGCGCTAGATAATGTTACAAACAATCAAAGTAGGGGTAAATGAATCGACCCAGGTCGATATTTAAACATATACTTGGCCTATATTGCACCGTGTTGAGGTTTATACTTGGGACTTAACTGAGATTTTTATTGTGGTATTCGAGACGAGTCAGACTTCTTCCTTGTTGACCTCAGGTGCCAACTTGTCTCTTAACCTTGTCTTCTTCATCTGATGATGAAAGCCTCTAGGCTTTTTCCCTATGTCTTGGCTTCTCTTATACTCTTCTTATGGACCTTCTCCAAGTATTAGGCTATAACTTCATACCCTATCAAAAATTAACCAAAAATAGCCCTAAATACACTTGGAATATTTGGCTTCCACATATTCAGAAATTCTAGAGAAGTAAATTTTTTTTTGGTCAATAAAACCCTTGCGGATTTTAAAAGTTAAAGACAAGGAAGGCTATAGGATCAGCACTCTCAGTCGTCGATTCAAAGACATACTAAAGAGGAGAAATCAAGAAGCATAGGATGTAAACTAGGATAGCGTAAGGTCTGTTGCGCCACACAATATGCAGCCTGATTCGCATCTCGAAGTGCGTAATTGTAGTAACAATGCATGAACTTCCCTAAAAATGGCACCACCATGGACGTCGTAGGTGTCTCCTGCGCACAATTTGTCCATAATCGCCTTGGCATCCCCCGTGAGTAGCACAACTCGATCAATCCATTGCCACCGTTGAATCAAGTATAACTCCTCGCGAAAAGGCATAAGTACAATCAAACCGGGATCTGAAATGCCCGGAATGAAAGCACCACAAGCAAAAGACGGGGTACCACCATGAAAGCCAACCAACCCTATTGCACCCGCCGTGGGATACCTAGTCGCGTCATCCACAACAATCCGAATGTCACGGTGCCTGCGGAGGATGTCTTCATGTAGGAGGCTAGTCTGAGGAGCTGGTAACTGAGGCGGAGCACGCACGACCGCAACTACGTCATTGTTGGAGGCTTGATGATGGAGGACCTGGCAGCGGAGGATAGGGATGGTGAACTGGGCAAATGGGGAGAAAACTACATTGTTCCGCCCTTTCCAAAGACGCCAACAAAGAAGAACTCAATTTGTAATGGTAGTAGGTTGGGTGCGGAGGAGCAAAATGTGCCAAAAGAGGGCAAAATGAAAAGTAGGATTAGAGTGAGGGGGAAGTGAGAGACCCACAACATCAGGTAAAAGAACTTCCACAGGACACCGGATAAACAAATGTTCCAAAGACTTTCCTTCCTCAGATTCACAAATGGGGCATATATTATGGATAACGAAGCCATGTTTTTCTGGGCCTTCACGGACTGGTGGGATCCTTAAAAGAATGTGTCAGAGAAAAAATTTCAACTTCGGCATAAGGGGTAAAGGACCAAAGCTTTGGCCACAATGTCGGGTCAAGAGGAGAAACAGAATCAACCTTACGAACAACGTTCAGTGTGGATAGTGAACTCATGCTGAGGCAGAGATGATAAGCCGACTTGACCGAAAACACTCCGCGAGAATCGAAATGCCAGACATACCGATCCGGAGGAGAAGTTCTAGTAAGGGGAATAACAAGAATAGCTTTTACGGATGGGGCATCAAAGAATTGACAAAGCCGCGGTACGTTCCA